GCTCGGGTTTTAGCAAAAGCAGCTCTCGGGGGGCGGATCGATTGGTTGAAAGGCTTGAAAGAGAATGTTGTTTTGGGTGGGGTTATACCGGCCGGGACTGGATTCAGAGCATTAGTCCACCCCTCAAAACAATATAATAACAGTTATTTCCAAAAACAAAAAAACAATCTATTTAAGGCGGGGGTTCGAGATATTTTGTCTCCCCACAAAAAACTTTTTAAATAGTTCCTTTCAAAAAAACTCCGCAAGATATCACATAATTGATAGGATTTAGAAAGATTCCTAATAGCAAATTAATATCTTGTACGCTTTTTCAATCTCGCCGGTTTATTTAGCAATAGAAAAATAGAAAATAAGAATTATTGGGGCGTATATATTCTATATATATCGGCAATTTTAGTATTTTAGTATAATTTAGTATAGATGACTATAGAGGATAAGGTTCCGTTGGAACAAGTTTTTAATTCAATTCAAAATTCCTCGTTAATTTTTTTCTTCAACAGAATCTAAAATGGGGGGATCTATTTAAATGACAAAAAGATATTGGAACATCAATTTAGAAGAAATGATGCAGGCTGGAGTTCATTTGGGTCATGGTACTAGGAAATGGAATCCTAAAATGGCACCTTTTATTTTTACAAAGCGTAAAGATATTCATATTATAAATCTGATCGTAACTGCTCGTTTTTTATCGGAAGCTTGTGATTTGGTTTTTGATGCAGCAAATAGAGGAAAAAATTTTTTAATTGTGGGTACTAACAATAAAGCAGCTAATTTAGTAGCCCGAGCTTCCATAAAGGCCCGATGTCATTATGTTAATAAAAAATGGCTTGCCGGTATGTTAACGAATTGGTCCACCACAGAAACAAGACTTCAGAAGTTTAGGGACTTGAGAATGGAACAAAAAAAAGGGGGGTTCCATCATCTTCCAAAAAGAGATGCAACTGTGCTCAAAAGACAATTAGCTCGTTTCCAAAAATATCTGGGTGGAATTCAATATATGACAGGCTTACCCGATATTGTAATCATTATTGATCAGCACAAAGAATATATAGCCTTGCGAGAATGTATAACTTTAGGAATTCCAACAATTTGTTTAATCGATACTAATTGCGACCCCAATCTATCAGACATTTCAATTCCAGCAAATGATGACGCTATCTCTTCAATTCGATTGATTCTTAACAAATTAATATTTGCAATTTGTGAGGGCCGTTTTAGCTATATAAAAAATTCTTGATAAAGAAATTAAAAAATAACTAATAAAAAACTTACTTCAAAAATAACATAGATTCCTTTCATAAGTTAGATTTTTTGATTTGTTTCTATTATTCTATTAAAAAGGACAAGATCCAATTCAATTAGACAAATAGATTTTGGCATTAAAATAATTAAGGGGGTAATATGAATCTTTTTTTTTTTTTCTAGCAATTACCCCATGGGGTTATACGAGATATCTGGTGTAGAAGTGGGTCAACATTTATATTGGCAAATAGGGAATTTCCAAGTACACGGCCAAGTACTTATCACTTCTTGGGTTGTAATTGGTATCTTAGTTGGTTCTGCTACTCTAGCTGTTCGCAACCCACAAATCATTCCTAATGGGGGTCAGAATTTATTTGAATATGTTCTTGAATTCATTCGAGATGTGAGTAAAACTCAAATTGGAGAAGAGTATGGCCCTTGGGTTCCTTTTATTGGTACGATGTTTTTATTTATTTTTGTTTCTAATTGGTCCGGGGCTCTTTTACCTTGGAAACTACTTAGATTACCTCATGGGGAGTTAGCCGCACCCACGAATGATATAAATACTACTGTGGCTTTGGCTTTAATTACGTCAGCGGCATACTTCTATGCGGGTATTTCAAAAAAAGGATTAGGTTATTTCGCTAAATATATAAAACCGACTCCGATCCTTTTACCGATTAACATCTTAGAAGATTTTACAAAGCCTTTATCACTTAGTTTTAGGCTTTTCGGTAATATTTTAGCTGATGAATTAGTAGTTGTTGTTCTTGTTTCTTTAGTCCCTTCAGCAATTCCGATACCCGTCATGCTTCTTGGATTATTTACAAGTGGTATTCAAGCTCTTATTTTTGCAACCCTAGCCGCGGCGTATATAGGTGAATCCATAGGGGATCATCATTAATATTAATTACTTTGAAAATGGATAAAATGAACTAATGGCTAATGAGGGCCTAATTGATTCATTATATCATTAACGATTTCTTTTTTTGTTACGTTTTGTTACGAGGAATTACTAATGAATCCACTTATTTCTGCCGCTTCCGTTATTGCTGCTGGCTTGGCCGTAGGACTTGCTTCTATTGGACCCGGAATTGGTCAAGGGACCGCCGCGGGTCAAGCTGTAGAGGGGATCGCGAGACAGCCTGAGGCGGAGGGAAAAATCCGGGGCACTCTATTGCTTAGTCTAGCTTTTATGGAAGCTTTAACAATTTATGGATTGGTTGTTGCATTAGCACTTTTATTTGCGAATCCTTTTGTTTAATTTAGAATGGTAAGACTAATAAAGAGACTCTTGAGGCTTTTTTTTTTTTCAAATTCTATTAAAAATGCCTCTTGGTATTACTTTATTGGTTGAGAAAAAAACCTTATGATACACACGAAATAATAATACTTATTCTATGCTTTCATCCTTTTCACTCGTAGTTTACTCGTAGTTTAAGGTTACTTTTTTTAGTGAGGCTTAGTAGATCCGCAAAATACACTAAAAATAGAATGTGTATTTAATCTTATTTAATATTTAATTAAGAAGTTCTAAAGATTTATTTATTATTTATTTCATAAATTGAATAAAATAGAAATAAAAAACAAAGTGAAGTAAAGAGTGTTGTTTTTATTTTAGTCTATACTATAAAAGAGGAGAATTTATGAAAAGCGTAACCGATTCTTTCCTTTCTTTGGGCCACTGGTCATCTGTTGGGAGTTTCGGGTGGGAATACCGATATTTTAGCAACAAATCTAATAAATCTAAGTGTAGTTCTTGGAGTATTGGTCTTTTTTGGAAAGGGAGTGTGTGCGAGTTGTTTATTTCAGGAATAGGCTGGACTAACCAGCTGTACTCTTACTCTTTATTTTTATGAAAACTCGGAGAAAGAGGTGCATTATCTCGCGAATTACTTCTGAATAAATAAATTCTCTGTAAGAACCATAGCATTTCGTCATTTACTGGTAAATCAACTTTGATTCTCTCTCACCCAAGACTATGATACTATGAACATGGTTAAAAAAATCATTTGAAGTCAAGGCACTATATGGTACTCTTTCTATCACTATGTTCATTATAGAGATATTTTCAAAAATAATATTTGATCAATAGAGGATGCTCATATTGATTAAACTAAAGGAACCCCCTTAATCTTTATTTTTTAATTTTTCACAAAGAAGGGAAATTTCCCCTGTTTATCCAAATCCAATGCTAAATTGACGGCCTGTGTTTATAAATAAGTAATAAAATCTTTTGAAAAAAAAAATAACTTTGCTGACAATTACCGATTTTTTGGTTGTTTTGTTAGAAGAGTCCTCATCTGTTTGGAATATTAACAAAGATAAAGAAGAAGGAAGAGAGGATAAGCTCAATGGAGTAATAAAGAACCAAAAAAAACATATCATAATTCTTATGAAGTTTGATTTGAAGGAATTGAGCTTGAGAGCCAAATGAATTGAAAGATTCATGTTTGGTTCGGGAAGGGGTTTTTCTGTTTTGAAATCAAAGCAAAAAAAAATCTACTTTCATTAAGTGATTTATTAGATAACCGAAAAAATAGGATCTTAAATACTATTCAGAATTCAGAAGAACTGCGTGGGAGGTCTATTGAAAAACTAGAAAAAAGCCCAAGCTCATTTATCTAAAGTAGAAAGGCAAGCCGAGGAGTTTTCGACTGAATGGATACTCTGAAATAAAACGAGAAAATTTGAATTTGCTTAATTCAACTTCTAATATTTTAGAACAATTTGAAAATGATAAAAATGAAACTATTCTATTTGAACAGGAAAGAGCTATTCATCAAGTAAAACAACAGGTTTTCCAACAAGCCTTACAAAGAGCTCTAGAAACTCTGACTTGTTGTTTGAACACCGAGTTGCATTTACGTACTATTAGTACCAATATCCGCATGTTGAGCACACTTCAAGAAATAAAAGATTAGTCTTTAATTTTCTAGCGGAGGTATTATTTTTTTTTATAAGAATAATTTAAGAACGAATCATTGGAACGATCCAAGCCGATGAAATTAGGAATATTATTCGTGAGCGTATTGAAAAATATAATAGAGAGATAAAGATTGTCAATACTGGTACCGTCCTTCAAGTAGGCGATGGCATTATTCGTATTCATGGTCTTGGTGAAGTAATGGCAGGGGAATTAGTAGAATTTGAAGAGGGTACAATTGGCATTGCTCTCAATTTGGAATCCACCAATGTTGGTGTTGTATTAATGGGTGACGGATTGATGATACAAGAAGGAAGTTCTGTAAAATCAACAGGAAGAATTGCTCAGATACCAGTGGGTGAAGCCTATTTGGGTCGTGTTATAAATGCCCCTGTCTAATCCTATTGATGGGAGGGGCGAAATTTCATCTTCTGGATTTAGATTAATTGAATCCCCCGCTCCAGGGATTATTTCGCGTCGTTCCATATATGAGCCTCTTCAAACTGGACTCATTGCTATCGATTCAATGATCCCTATAGGCCGTGGTCAGCGAGAATTAATTATTGGAGACAGACAAACTGGTAAAACAGCAGTAGCTACGGATACGATTCTAAATCAACAGGGTCAAAATGTAATATGTGTTTATGTAGCTATTGGTCAAAAAGCATCTTCTGTGGCTCAGGTAGTAACTACCTTACAAGAAAAGGGAGCCATGGAATATACTATTGTGGTAGCCGAAATGGCGGATTCCCCTGCTACACTTCAATACCTCGCTCCTTATACAGGAGCAGCTATAGCTGAATATTTTATGTATCGTGAAAAACACACTTTAATCATTTATGATGATCTCTCCAAACAAGCCCAAGCTTATCGCCAAATGTCTCTTCTATTACGTAGACCACCTGGTCCGCGAAGCTTACCCAGGAGATGTCTTTTATTTGCACTCACGTCTTTTAGAAAGAGCCCGCTAAATTAAGTTCTAAGTTAGGGGAGGGCAGTATGACTGCTTTACCTATAGTAGAAACGCAATCGGGAGATGTTTCTGCTTATATCCCTACTAATGTAATTTCTATTACTGATGGACAAATATTCTTATCCGCCGATCTATTTAATGCTGGAATAAGACCTGCTATTATGTGGGTATCTCTGTTTCCCGAGTGGGGTCTGCAGCTCAAATTAAAGCCATGAAAAAGGTAGCTGGTAAATTAAAATTAGAACTCGCCCAATTCGCTGAATTAGAAGCCTTTGCCCAATTTGCTTCTGATCTTGATCGAGCTAGTCAAAATCAATTAGCAAGAGGTCAACGATTGCGCGAATTGCTTAAACAATCCCAATCCGCTCCTCTGACGGCGGCAGAGCAAATTATTACTATTTATGCTGGAATAAATGGGTATCTTGATTCATTAGAACTTGGACAGATCAGCAAATTTCTTATTGAGTTATATACTTACTTCAAAACTAATAAACCTCAGTTCCAAGAAATCATATCGTCTACCAATACATTTACCGATGAAGCAGAAGCCCTTTTGAAAAAAGCTATTCCGGACCAAAAGGATCGGTTTCTACTTCAAGAAAAACTTTAAATAAGTACTTCAATCAAAAAATTCAAACACAATAGAAAGATATGGAAAAATTGCGCCCAATAGGATTTGAACCTATACCAAAGGTTTAGAAGACCTATGTCCTATCCATTAGACAATGGACGCTTTGGTGCTTCTTTTTTGCGTCTTACCCCTCAAAATTATTTGTAACAATAAATAATTAGATCGGATTCTAGGTGATCTTTTTTTATTGTCTATTCCTATTCCCCTTTAAAAATATTCTCATTAATGAGCATCTCCAAATAAATCTTTCAAATAATAATCAAATAATAATTTTTTTATTCCATTTTTATTCAATATGAAATTCAAAATGATTTTCTACTTCCTTAGAAAACAACGCCCGGTTGAGTAAGGACCGGGCCGTGCGAACAAGAATAGCCTTTTCAACATTTAAATAATTGAGTAAAAAATCAAAACAAAACATCTTATAACTCTTAATTTAGATTTTTATAAAATAATATAATAAAAATATTTAAATAATAGATTGAAAAGCATAATCAAAATAAAAAAAATTACTTAGTTCTATGTTTATTATAAAATAAGAATTCTCTAAATAAAATTTGGAGAGATGGCTGAGTGGACGAAAGCGTCGGATTGCTAATCCGGTGTACGAGTTTTTCGTACCGAGGGTTCGAATCCCTCTCTTTCCATTTTTGTGGATCGTATTATTTCTTTTTTTTTTTTTTTTTATTTGCAAATTCGTTTTATTTTATTCTTCACGTCCAGGATTACGCCTTGGATCATTAGATAGGAACCCAAAGATAAATAGAGAAACAAAAAAGATGACTACTGTGTATACGAAGAGTTTGAGAGTAAGCATTACAAACCTCCAATATTTTTTATTGAAAAAAAAATAAATAGAATATATTTTCTATTTTGAGACCACATAGGTACTATAAGGTACCAAGAAAGAAAGTTGAAATAGAGTTAATTTTCTAAAGAAAAAAATTTCATAAATCAAATTGAAATAAGAGTTTACCAAATTAAATATGGGGAATGGTCCTAATCCTAGTAGAGTCTTTTACTATAAAAAAAAGCTTTAAAAAGCAAGGAAGTTCTTATTCTTATTTTACTCAATTTGTTTAATTAAGTATTTCATCGAAAACTAACAACAGCCTGCCAAACAAAAGCTAAAA